TTTTTTTTTTTTTTTTGGTACTGGGGATTGAACATAGAGGTGTTGTACCACTGAGCTACATCCCCAGACTGTTAGATTGAGATAATTTCTTGCTAAATTGCTTAGGACCTCACTAAATTGATGAGGCTGGCCTTAACCTTACAATCCTCCTGCTTCAGCCTCCTGAGTTGCTGGGATGATAGGAATGCACCACTGCCCCTGACTTGATGAAACTTTAAAATATTAGCCATTGTAGGAGATATGAAGTGTATCCCAGCATGGTTTTGATTTGCATTTCCTTAATGACTAATGATATGGTTAAGAGATACTGATATATCTTCTGGGGAAACATCTGTTCAAATCCATTGCCCATTTTTAGACAGGGTCATTTCCTTTTTAGTGTTGAGTTGTAAAAGTTCTTTATATTTTTTGGAAATTGATTATTAGATACATGAATTGCAAATGTGTTATCCCATCCTACAGGCTGTTTTTCCACTTTCTTGATAGTGTCCTTTTAAGTATAAAATTTTAAAAAATATTTATGATCACCTATTTTTTCTTTTAATTGAGCTTATATTATCATAATTAAGAAAAATTTGCCTAACATAAGGGCATAAAAGTTTATATCTGTTTTTGTGGAAGACGTTTACAGTTTTAACTCTTCAATTCTCTGAATTCATTATTGTCAAAAATCACTTGCTAATAGATGTGTGAAATTATTTCTAGGCTCAATTCTATTCCACTGGTCTGTATATCCATTCTTTTGCTAGTACCATACTATCTTGAATACTATAGTTTTGTAGTAGGTGTTGAAACTGAGAAATGTGAACCTAGGGGCACTTAACCACTAAGCCACATCCCCAGACCTTTTTACATTTTATTTAGAGACAGGGTCTTGCTGAGTTACATAGCACCTTGTTAAATTGCTGAGGCTGGCTTTGAATTCCCAATCCTCCTGCCTCAGCCTCCTGAACTGCTAGGATGGCAGGCTTGTGTCACTGCACCCAGTGTATTAGTTTGTTTCAAATTTCTATGATGAAATATCTGAGATATACTACTTTATAAAGCAAAGAGGTTTATTTGGCCTCATAGTTCTGGAGGGACATCTAGGGGCTTTATCCTGTGATGTCCCTTTTTGCAGGCAGAATCCTGAGGAGGTGCAGAGCCTCACATGGCAAGAGACAGGGAGCACTTCACATGTGTGGTTTCTCTTTTCTCACACCACTGCATACAAGCATGGGAACTCCCACTGATGACTTAACCTAACCTCACCTCCCAAAGGCTGCACCTGTAAACACCATAGAATCCGATTTCCACCACCATTAATGTATGTTTTGGGGGATTAAACTCCCACATGACTCAAGGGGGACAAACCATCTTCATACCATAGCAGATATATTGTTATCTTAACAATGTTGAGTATTCTGATCCCTGAACATGACAAGGTTTTCCATTCAGTGAGAACTTCTGTGATTTCTTGCAGTGATGTTTTAGACTTCACAGTATAGAATAAGTTTTGCACTTATTTTAATAAATTTATTCCTAAGTATTTCATTCTTTTTAATGTTTTTGTGAAAAACTTTCTCTAAATTCACTTTTGGATATTTAAATGTTTAAAAATACAATTGATTTGTATTTTTGCAAAGGTTTAAAAATACAATTAATTTGTATCCTGTAGCCCATTGAATTCACTTTTTAGTAGTAGTGTTTAAAAGAAGTGGCAAGAGCAAACATGTTCTATTTACAATCTCACGGGGAAAGATTTCAAGCTTTCATGTAAGTATGTTAGCAGTGGCTTTCCATACTCCTTTTATTAGCTTGAGGAATTTCTCTTCAGGACCTACCTGTTGATTATTCTATCAGGTAAAGGTTTTGGATTTAGTAAAGTTGTTTTTCTTTATTGAAATGATCATGTAATTTCCCCCTTCCTTAAATTCTTAGGATATACTATACCCGTAGATTATTTTTGTATGTTGAGCAACCTTGCATTCACAGGTCATTGTGTACAAACTTTCTTATATGTCGATGGATTCACTTTGCTTTATTTTGCCACTGGAATTTTTTTGTCTTTATTCATAAAGGATTGCCTGATTTATCAGGATACTATCAGGATAATAACAGCCTCTGGATGAGTTAGTATGTGTATTTTTGGTTTTAATTTCTTAAACATTTGGTAGAATTCATCAGTAAAGTCATCTGATGGTTGGCTTTTTTGACTACTCAGCTAGCTACTTAGATTTATTAGTCTAAATAAATCTATTTCTTCTTGAGAAAGTGTCAAGTAGTTTGTGTATGTGTTTTTAAGGAATTCATACATTTTGTGTAGGTTACCTAATTTTCCGTTCACAGTATTCCTTAAATTCCTTTTTATTTCTAAAAGGTTAGTAGTAATATCCCTTTATTCCATTCCTAAGTTAGTAATTAGTGTATTTATTTTCTTTATCTTAAATTTAAGATTTTTCAATTTTGTTCATCTTCTAAAGGTCACAATGATTTTTTTCTCTATTATATTTTTATGTACTCTATTTTAATTGTCATCTTTATTATTTTCTTTCTCTTGCTTGCTCTGGGTTTGATTCCCTTTTCTAGTTCAGTAATGTTTCCTAACTTAGAAAAATTAAGTTTCAATATGATGTAGATTTTCTACTTACCCTGCTTTGAAAAACAAAAAACAAAACTTCTGTTTTTTCCAACATTTTCAGTTGTGTTCAGTAAAAAGGTTAGTCTTACTATAGCTGAAAATGAGATTTTAAAATTCATTTTAATGAAATTAGGACTTTACATACTACTTTATAACCTACTCTACAAAATTATATGACATTTTCTTCTATGTAATTACATGTTCTTGTTTTTATGGGTACATGGTATACTACTATAGGAAGGAAACATTTACACAATTTATTGTTGCACATTAGTGATTTTCTATTATAATTAGTGATTTTCTTATTATAATAAGTGTAGCACAAGATGATTTATTTCTTTCCCATATGAAAAAACTAACATTGCTGGGTGCAGTGGTGCATGACTGTAATTTCAGCGCCTTGATAGGCTGAGGCAGGAGGATTGCCAGTTCAAAACCAGTGCTAGCAAAAGTGAGGTGCTAAGCAACTCAGCAAGACCCTGTCTATAAATAAAATACAAAATAGGGCTGGGGATGTGGCTCAGTGGTCCAGTGCCCCTGAGTTCAATTGCTAGTAACACCCCCCCACCTCAAAAAAAAAAAAACTAACACCAAGGCTTGTGTGAAATTAATGCCACAAGTTAGATGTGTCCCAACTTGTAGTCTCAAGGAACCTTTGTACATGGTTAAGATTACAAAATTTACTTTTTGTAAATTTTTTTACCATTGGAATGACTGGTGCTGCACCAATCCCATTTGTTTATCCATCTTCCAGTACTCTCTCAATAGTGTTTGGTGGAATCACTAGCAACTTAAGAAGTATAGGAATATAACAGTAAAATGATGGAGGGCCACTGTATCCAGTTAGTCCCCCTACATAGAAGTAGAACTTTCATTGATTATGCTATAATTACTCTGAGAGGTTTATGAGGAATCTGACAAAAGATATTTGTATATCAGAATACTTCAAAACTAAATTCATAAATTTAGAATTACTACTTTGTTGTTCATATCATTTTACAGGAGGTATGGAAGTCCGAACTGTGGCTGCCAAAATTACTCTAAGAATCTTTCTGTGAAAGAAAAGGTACTATGCCAATTATTGCTGCTTCTTTATAAAGCTCAAAGTGGGGAAGCAAGCAGTCCTTCCACTTTTATCACTATCATCATAGGACACAATGCCATTGTACTTACTCCTCAGGGTGTAATCTAACTTGAAGTTGATGCCCAATCTGATCATTTGGGATGAGTTACTAGTAGACAGGCACAATGACATTCAAAAAAACATATCCTTTCTTCTTCTTTTAACTAATACAGCATGAAAAGGAAAACTGGGTTTCCACCATGAGGGAAATGGTGATATGTGGTAAATGTAGACCAATGACAAAAAGGTTACCATATTACTAAATTCAATTGGGCTGTATGTTATCCTAAATCTATTATTGCTGTTAATCTTTCATTTCAAGAAGCATGCCATTAAGCAAAGTGATTTTCCAGGAAGCATTTTGCTAATACCAATTTTTGTCAAACTTAGATAATTCACTTACTAATTCAAATTAAGACTGTCATTAGTAAGCTAGTTTCCTTCCCTAAGGCATTAGTGCAAAAACACTACCTCAATTTTAAATTTTGTTTCTGGTGCTTTGACATGAATGATGCAAAATAAACTCCATATTCTGTTTCCTACTCAAAATATACAATGCTAATTGTATTATTGAAAGTACAATCTAGGGTGGGGGTTGTAGTTCAGTGGTGGAGCACTTGCTTCAAATGTGTGAGCCTCTGGGTTCGATCCCCAGCACCACATAAAAATAAATAAATAAAATAAAGGTATTGTGTCCATCTACAACTTAAAAACATTTTTTTTAAAAAAGTATAATCCAATAGTCAAGGGACAAAGGAATCAAGTCCTTCCCCACAAAACACTCTTGAAATATTTAAAATCTGAGTAAATGTATCCAATAAATACTTTATAGAGTCTATCTACGTATTATACAGTGTTAAGTAACCCTACTACTCTGGTTCATAGCATACAGACCTGAGACTTAGAAAACAAAGGATGTAACACTAAACTGAGTTAGTTCCTTACTTTGTACCTTCATTTGAAATGCATGGGGAAAAGCATAAATAGTCATGACAATTAGTCATTGTTAATGCAATTTAAAGACAACTATGGAAATTTCTCTAATTTCTAATGTTTCTTTTACGTTCTAGACATGGTAACATTTAAATTTCTTTCTACAAATATAGGTAATCAAATCACTGGTTTCACTTAAGATAACAGTTCATACCACTACCTTCTTAACCAACATCAAAGCAATTTAACTAGGCAGTATGGTGGGCTAAATCAAAGTGTAAAGCATCAACTACCAGAAGTAAAAATAAAATCACATCTAACACATTTTAGGAGATGAAAAATTTACTTAGAAATTGCAGATATTTAGCAAAGATAAGACAAACACTATTTTCCATATTCTACAGAAATACAATAATTTGTAGCTGCTTGGTACATGGTCACATGTTATAAATAAATCTAATGGAAAAAAGAATGGCTCATTCTACTTCTCTGCCATTTATCATAAATAAGTGTACCAGTGAGATACTGGAAGACCACTGCATAGAAAGAATCCTAGGGCTGTTTGTTAATATACATCATTATACATTAAGAATAATACAAAACCAAAATAGGTGCAAATACACAATTAACATGCAATTTAAGGTATTATTTTGAAGAAACAAGACAGAATTTAGTGACTACAACTGAAAAATGTGTTGTTATAATCAGTACATCATTGCATCTTACATGGCATAGAATTTCTTTCTCCTTAAATAACACCTGGCAAATTGGAATCGACTGATCATATTTTGAGAGCAAATTTTAAATGAAGATGAAGGAAAACAAGTGGACAATTCTAGTAGACATTTTTCTAAATTATTTTGAAGTACCATAATTTTATGTCTGCCTCATCATCTCTGAATTTAAAATAGTCACACTTTGTACCATGTACATATGAATTGTCCAATAAAATACCCTTTAGCCACACATGACTTGAGAACTTGAAACATGGTTAGTCAGAACTGAGATGTAGTGACTGTAAATTACACACTGAGATTTGAAGACTTAGTATAGAAAAAAAAAAGGTAAGATATTTCATTAATAATTTTTACAGTGATTATATGTTGAAATGGTAATTTTTTTAATAGCTGGGTTAAATAAAATATATTATTAAAGTTTATTTCACCTCTTTCAACTGACTACAAGGAAATTAAAAATTACTTTGTGGCTCATATCTCTTTCCTTTTTTAAAAAAAGTCTATATTTATTTTTTTAGTTATAGTTGGACACAATACCTTTATTTTATTCATTTATTTTTATGTGGTGCTGAGGATCAACGCAGCACCTAGCACGTGGTAGGTGAGCGCTTTACTGCTGAGCCACAACCCCAGCCCACATATTATATTTCTATTGAAGAGTTCAAGTATATATAATCTATGATCATTATACTAGCCTTAAGTACTCTGTGGTACTAATTCCCAAAACAGTGAAAGCACACTCTGCACATACCTTACTGCAAATCTCATCCTTATCCCTCTGTAAGGTATACATTTTAAGTGTAAAAAGAATTCACAAAATATTTAAGCCTTAAACAAAAGTCAATTAGTATATGGTAGGAACAAAAGAAACTTCAATATAGACTGCTCTATGGGGGAAAATGGATTAAGAAACACAGCAGTGCAATCAGTGAAGACAATTAGTATCTTCAGTAAAGTTAGCCAAACTAATCTTTAATGCCCAGGATCTGACTCTGTACCACAGAGCATATATGTAACTTGTCCATGTGAACATAAATTACAAGAAAAAAACAATATTGACGTCAATTTATGGAAATATTCTTTTTGGGAAATCTACAAGCACTGTGATATTAACATGCACGATGTATTCTAATAGCAGAATATAGTATCTAAGATCTTTCCCTTAAATTACAGTCCCTCAGTGTTAAACCAGGCAAGTGACTAGTGTATAAGGAACTTGGGTTAAAAAAAAAATTAGAAGCTATTAAAAAAAATTACTACTTTTAAATTTTTTTTCCTTCCTCTCCTATTGTAGTAGAGTGTATAAATATTTGGCATACTTATAATACCTCATATTTTTTCCAACTTAAAGACATTAAGTTAATCTAGTATACATTCCATTTTTCTCCTAGAACAAGAAAACCCAAAATATAATACTGACACGGTCACTTCAGTCAGAAGCCAGCATCATAGTCATGCATTAAGAATCTCACCAAACATCAATGCCTAACTACTCTTGTACTATACATTTGTTTCCTCATAGTTCAGGTAGGAATGTTTGTTTCAAAAATTTTAATGTTTTTTTACATCAGGTGAACTCTGACAAAAATGCTCTGAAAGCCACAATAAACATAGTGAAACTACTATATTATTCATAAAAATTTCCTCCTCATGTCAAAGATGTTTAAGTAGGAGTTATTTAGCATAAATTTCTATTTTACCATTACCACTTTTAAGATATTGGAATGAAACTAAAATTTAAGGAGAAATAAAACTAATCCAGATAGTACTATATATACCAATATATAAAATGATTACAGAAGACTACAGTAGTTCTCCTTAGAGTCCAGCTACCTATTTTTTTAATCAATTAATGTGCCTCAGATATTATCTAATCTTTTTACATCTCCTGTCTTCAGACCATGTTCTATATAAACAATATTTATTACAAATCACTAACTCTAGCCTAAATAAGCTTAATAATTAATGTGAAATGATACAATTTTTCAGTTTCACACATATATTATTTTAAATATATACTTCTCAATGAAAAGATAACGCTGGTTTCCTTGCTGAAAGCTCATTGTTAGTATGACAGACTAATAATCAACTAGGTGTTTATTGAGCACTTACTTCGATTGCACTCAGTCTAGGCCCATTCTTTAACTAATAGTATAAAATACCTCCTTCAAAAGCATGACATTTGATGAGGGAGGACAACATATGAACATTTCTGGTAGAATGCTGCTTGAGGCAATATTTAGTTACATAAAATGGTACATCCCTATGACCCAAAACAGAATGAAAAGTCTCAATGCATTACCACCTTATAAAGATAAATAAATAATCTACTGTGTGCTGCATAGTACTTTGAGGAAACTGATTACCAGATATGAAATTAAGGCCGATTTCCCTAAAAGTATGAGAGGAAAAAACAGAATGTCTTAATTTGTAGAGCATCAAAGACTTAACATAAACAGTTTACCCAAACAAATATCTGGTTAATTAGGGCAAATGGGCACTTGTTTTGTTAGATTTCCAGCTTTGCTGGAGGGAGTTGGTCTAATTTTAAAAAGTGCCTGAAATAGTAGCATTTAAGCAAATACAAAAATAACAATTCTTTGGATAAAATTCTTTGTAAAAGCCACCATATAAATTCAAGCTACAAATCCTTCATATACATGTACATCTGTATACACACATAGATAATCTCAAAAGTATCTAAACCTCACTTGCAATGGTGTACAACTGTTATATTTATCTTATATATTTGAATATGATTATGTATTCACGCAAACTGGTGTATTTTACCAAAAGCTAACAATGTGGACAATAAGACTGCTATGAGCTAGTTTTACCGCTCGAGCCTTTACCAGTTATTGAATTCCCTTATTGAATTCCCATAACATTTTAGGTATTATGCAATGTATTGAACATGCATAGGTTCTGCACATAAAACATTCTCAAGGAAACAGATGTCTTAGAGAGCAAAGTAGTCATGGTTTTGAAAGCCAACAGTAATCATTTTCCTCAACAGAATTTCTAAAAATTGAGAATGATGTCAGTTAATGCAAAATAGTCTCCCCCACCTCCTCAAACATGAAAATATAATTCAGAAATCATTTCTACAGAAGACATATATTAAAAAATGTTCATAACACAGCCACAGGAACTAAAGCAGAGAGATGAATTGAGGCAGTCACAGAGCATCTACTAGCTATTGCATTGGTAGTGATTTATAAAAAATACTATATATACTAAACCTTTAAGAGCTAGTAATATATTTATCCTTTTTTATTTGCCACTGAATAAAAAAAGTATATCCTAAATTGAACTAAATCTTCTATGCCCTGAGGATCAACAATAGACTAATATAAGAAAAATCAGAGTTAGCTTTATGGATATTATTATCCAGAAAGTCCAAACTACATATAGCTAATATTCTTGGAAGCATGTTTTACCAGCAGACTAAGCTGGTTTGGTGGGTTTTTTGTTTTGTTTTTTTCAGCAGAGAGTTTGGTTTTACAGTGTTAACATGGCCTGGTAAGAGTAGAGAAGTCTTAAGTTGGGAGCCTGAGATTTCCTTCTGATCCCAGATCCACAATGGATACACTGGTTTTCTGACTCTACTCTGAACATAGCATACTGCTGCCTATAGAATATATTATTGAAAAATTCTCTATAAAGCACTTTGAAAGCTTAATTATATATTTTTCTGAAATTATGAGGAATTATTTGCTATCATGAAATGTGAAATTCCTACTCCCCAAAACAAATATATAAATGACACATTTTAAATTTCATCTTAGAATTTACTTCCTTTCTTCTTATATGTGACAAAAAAAAATCCTACTTTTCCCCTTCAACTATCCTACATTAGGCCTGAACGTGGATGGGAAAGAAGGTCCTTAGAGTAAGGCAGAGGATTCATTTAGGACAATCATCTGGCATTTATTTTAGGGAGGGGTTCCAGCTTCCCTTTGGACTCAGTCTGCACAGATTTCAGGCTGTCTCAAATTGTGCACACATAAACCTCTGAATGCAATGCATGTAATCCCCAAAATGTTAGTTGCTTTGCAGAAAGAACTAATTCTTTATAGGGTGCTTAAAAATGAGAACTAATGAGGGCTGAGGACATAGCTCAGTTGGTACAGTGCTTGCCTTGCATGCACAAGGCCCTGGGTTCAATCCCCAACACCACAAAATGAAAAAAAAAAAAAAAATTGAATACGGATTTGGGGGGAAAAAAGAGAACTAATGAAATAGAAATAAAGGACTCTACTTTCTTGTATCAGTATCTCATCAAAGGATAAGATAGGACCAGGTCTAACAAAGGGAATAAATAAAATCATGAGTCATATTCAGCTGTTTTATGTTCTTGTTTTCTATCTAAATATTAGAGTTTAAAGTAACATGATCCTGCTCCAACCCCAAGTAAGAAAGGCACTCAAATTAACACAGTATGTACAGTTGTTTTTAAAAAGACACTGTGTGACAGAAAGTAGAATTCTTAGGGTTGATTTTTCTTGCTCTCTGCCTTTATGATACTGAATTTGCCTAAACTTTCCAGTGCCTCAACACAGATCTCAAATAAATAGGAGATCATTATAGAGCATAGGGAGGCAGCAGCACATAGAATGCTAGAGTTTGCAGGTCTGTTTGAGGAATTCATTCAAAAGACAAAAGATTAAGTTGTTATAATGTTGTTCAAAAATTTTAGCATACTTTAAATATCTTACTTTTAATATATAATTTTCTAGTAAAAAAATAACAGTAAACTTAAAACAGCTTTTTACACTGCCACCCCCCCCCCCCAATCATGTGCTACTTTCTTTTGCAACTAGATCTTCAGCATCTTCTATAATTCAGGGGTGCTAAGGTAGAGATTGTTGTATAGCAAGTGGTGGTTCTACTCCTAAATTGCATTTAGCCATGTCATAGACCATGTGATGCTATATGAGAGAAAATTATAATTATGTTTGCAGCAATATTACAAGTTCTTTTTACACATATACTCACTCATTCACCAAGTACAAACTGGTATGAACTGAACATATCAAAACCACAAAAATATATATGCTTTCTTATAGACTGCTGCATAAAAATCCAAAAACTTTTGTTTCCACATGTCACCAACCTCCTTATTTGAATATCTAAGTGTTCTTTAGTGACAACCTGTATACGTTTAATTCTACTAATTATTAATAAAGTGGAGTATGATCCCTAGCCTAGCACTGCTTAAAAAAAAAAAAAAGAAAGAAATTAATGAAGCTCTCAATTTAAATTAGAACTGTACTAGAAGAATTAAGAAGTGTGACTGAAAGTCTGGGCCTGGAGTTTCTAAAGAAATAATAGTAGATATTAATATTTATCAGATCCTTAAGCTTAACAACTATACAGATTTAGGAAATAACTAAAAGATTCACAGTTCAAATTAATGGGGAAAAAAGGAGAAGCATAAAACAACTATTCATGAAGATACAATAAACAAGTCATTGAAATCAAAGAATTTCTTCAGCTGTTCTCAAATGGTTCAAGCTTTGTGTATGTGTCCTTAAATAAGTAAACAGAAAGTAGTATCCTTAATGCAAGTGGGTTTCTATAAATGTTTAATGTAGATTAAGGTATAGCTCACTGATAATTCTAGAGCTGCATTTCTTGGCTTGAATTTAATGAGTTTAAACAAAGTAATGAAAAAAATAAATTTAAATTAACTTTTTCTATATGCAACAGCTCTCCCTAAGTATTATTCACAAACAATTAATTTCTCAATCATCACTCTATCCATCACTCATGACCAATCTTTTTCCTTCTTCAGTTAATCAATCATTCATTTAATAAGTAGTCAGTGAGCCCTCACAATGAGCAAGGCACACACAGTAGAGTCTGGAAATACTATATTACTGAAATAAGTCTACATTAAAAAGGCAGGGTGAAGAGTGTTATGAAGGTGTTAGTTACCTACTGCCTTTTGCTTGTCAGTAGTATTCTTGACCCACAGGATGATGAACTATTACTCTTTCAGTGAAAATGTGATGAAACACGTCAAATCTAAACTATCTTCCCCTTTTAAACAATGACATATTTGAAGAAAAATAAGGCTAACAAGCCCCTGAAAACAGACATACTTTTTCTACTGCATGAGCTCATTTAGGCAAAGACATATTATGCTAGTCAGTTTAAATGTCAAGCACTTAGGCGGGGGGGGGGGGGGGGGGGGGGGGCGGCACAACAAAAATAATCATATAGGGCAATTCTAAGTTTTCCTGTGAATGAACACTTGAAAAATGCAAATTTAAAATAAAGTAGCATACAAAAGTCACATACTGACAGTATCCTTTGGATGTTTGTATTCTCATTCTCTATTTAAAACTTTATTAAGAAAAGAAGACCAAGGTATATTAAAACACTACATGGCTTCAGAAAGTGGTGGGTTTGAGCAGTTAACAACAAAGATGACCAAGATACTGAGTGTAAGGTAAGTTTAACTAATGTTCTCAGGATATTATCTATACTCATGTCCTGATGTGTATTCACATCAAAGTAGTTGCACTCACATCAAAGAAGCCCTATTACTTAGGATACTAAAAATTATGCTTGAGATAACAGTGATACTGAGTAGTCCAGAATTTGGCAACATGTATTACTGGAATGTGCTGAACCTCCCATGTCATCTCTGTGTAGTTTCTACTCAACCCCTACAAGAGTTGAAAATCATAAATCTAATGAGTTTTATCCATTGAAATCTACATAGACCTTGAGGTATCTGATTCAAAATAAGCTCTGTACACAAAGGGCCATGGGATTAAGTTCATTATGGCAATTATTTTCTCTCCTAAAAATTATATAAAGTATAAAAAATGGTAATTTTTGCCCCAAGAGATAAGAGCAACATCTGTCTACTGGGGCCAGGCTAGATAATTTTCCTGGTGTTCTTACAAGTATATCATTCAATTTGACAGTTCACCGCTCAACAAAACCATGATGCCCAAATAAAGGACCTATTCCATTTCCCTTAAAATAGTACTTCTACCTCAAGTCCTGGCTATTCACAAGATTGAGACAGGAGAGGTTTGCCTTTCCCTACATCTTTCTCCCCACCTTACAGATTACTAAGCAAGTAAAAAGGAGAAGAGGCAAAGCATGGTGGTCATACTTATTTCTATAACTATTACTCACATTTGTATACACGTAGGACAAGAAACAGCTTCATCATTTGAGAAACTTTTAGAGGGGCAGTTTCTATTCATATTTCGTGTGTGTGTGTGTGTGTGTATTTAGATGGGAATGAAATTCACAGAAATAGAGAACATAAAATCTTCAGTAGGCATTCCTGAAATTTGAGGAAAATTATACACAAGTCAAAATGACAAAAAAAAATATGGAATGGAGTGGTGAAATAAAGAAAACAGTATACAGAAAAAAGAAATACATACCATTTACAAAGGAGAAAATATAATAAGAAAGTAGACATTAGCTGACTCTTTCCCTAGTCCCACTTCATCAACCTGAAAAACTCAGCCCTTGTTAGTGAAAATTAAGATACAGCATTAATGTAGATACTTTGGTACCTCATCCCTGATAAAATCCTGTATCAAAGTGTTCTGTTTTGTTTTTAAATAAAAACTGAAGAATTAATCTCCTGAACTATTCTTTCCTCCTGGCTTTTGCCAGTAAACTTTTCATAGTCCACAAAATTTTGTAGTTTATCCAGTATAATCTCAATAACTTAATTTTTTAAAAAGGAGTTTCTATGAATACATTTGTATGTATATTTCTCCCATTTTTCATGAATGATTTTGGAAAAGAAAAAGTAGTAATAACTAAAAATGGCATTCTGGGTTTTTAAAAAATTTATTTTATCAGGGCTGATATGACTGTTTTGGCATATACCAAATATGAGGTAAAAAACAACCTATCAAAGCTAGTAATAAAAATAATTTTCCAGTACTACACTTACATAAACTCTTAAATTAGATTCTGTTTTTAAATAATCATTTAAAAATGGATTACATTGGAAGCATTTTTTTAATATAAATTTCAATACTTCTGACTTTGGTTACATTTAGTCTATACTTTTGAGTAGAACATGCTAGAAAAAGAACTGATTTATATTTTCACATATCCAAACATCTAGCCATTTGATTCTGAAAATAAATTAAGTTCTTCTGCATCTGTATTAATGTTTCTAAGCTGAACTACAACAAAAAATTTTGATTTAAAAAATTTGCCTATATAGCAATCAAAATGAGGTGGGTGGATGTATATGTGACCCAATTATAAGAACTGAGTGAAAACCCCATGTATAGAAATATAAAGGATGAGGAGTTAAAAAGAAAAAATTTAAGACTCATTTTTTAGTAAGGAGCTACACAATTACTGTATCCCCAAAGGAATGCCAATTCTTAATAAAATAAATAAAATGTAAGGTTTCCTATGGACTTTTAACCTAAAGATGAGGAACACATTAGCCAATAATAGCAAACAGTTCATGCAACTATGTCAATAAGAAAGGAAAGCAATATTGCACTAAAAGGGGAACCTTACAGGATTAATCCACTTTCATTGACTCAGAGTGACCAGCCATTTCCTGTATGCTTTGGCATACCTGGCTTGCTCTATGTTCCGGCAAGTGGACAATACTTGATCAATGAACCTGTGCTCCATTTCTAGGCCCAAAGAATCTGGAGCTGGGGTCCGCTTCAGGCGTTTGGTTTCTTGGGAGTAGCCTTGCTTGCTTGAGTCATTCAATCCATCTACTTCCATTGCCTGAGACAGCCGAGGATCTGCTGGGATGAGGTGCAAATCACTCAAAGTCTCTCCAGGACTGTCTGCAGGTGGCAGCTGGGTCATGCTGTGAGGAAACTTACCATTTAAGTGATGTTGAAGGTAGAAAACATGCCGCCTATGATGGGGGAGGGGGAGGAAGAGAATAAAGAAAATCTCATGGCAAAGTTAAGCTTTTCAGGGGAAAAAAATTGTGATCATATCAACATGTATACGTGCTGAGTTTGTGGCCCACTTCATAACCCAAAGATAAACAGAGGAATTAGGAATTAGGAAAAATAGTTGACATGAAGTCTGGGTATTTGGACAAATATTGCAGATTACTTGTTTGTTTTGTGAGAAAGAACACTATTAAAAGTTTTTTCAATAAGCATTTACTGAATGATGACAACTTGAAGTTATTACTTTAACATGAAAATAGAAATAGGTCTTAGTTCAATCAATATCTGTTTTATATAATATCAATATTATATATAACCAAATAAAAAACTAATTTCGTTGATATCTTGGAAGACAAGAGATTCTAGAAATGGGGAATTAAAGGGTTCATCCAGAGGCTTATTCCATAGCCTTTATCCAATCCTTTTAATTAAAAGAACACATCTGCTGCAGTTGGTCTTATGATCTAGAAATCAACTGACCTATCTTGTAAATCCATCACTAGTCTTCAACATCCATATATAGTGGATCTGTGCTGAATTCTGAGAAAAACACTTTAAAAGATACAGTTTCTGTTCTTCCTCTAAGAAGAGCAGTTCTTGTGTCCTTAAAACATCACCTGGAACTATTTGTCAAAATGAAATCCCTGTTGCTAATCTCCAAACACCGATTTGGTGTAAGGGGGACATTTCTGGTAGACAATACGATAAACTACATGGCTTCTAAGTTGTTATATCTCAACAAATTAGTGAGAACTAGGAAAGGAAAGGAAAGGGAAGGGGCAGGGGAAGGGGAAGGGGAAGGGGAAGGGGCAGGGAAGGAAAGAAAAAAGGCGCTGGGGATGTGGCTCAGAGGCAAGGGGCTCATTTCCTAGTACCAAACACATAAGTAAAAGATAATTCTCTATTCATGAATGTGCCAAAAAGGAGAGATTGTCTTCTGAGTAGGTTGAGCATAGACTAGCAGGTGTCCATCTCCTCAAACAGCCTAAAACTAGACTGGACAAGAGTAAGGGCAGATCTCAGTAATTTTATTAATATGCCAACTTTTAAAAACCTACCTCCTGACTAACACAAGCAAGTCTTATATTCTGTTTCACACCTTTCTACTAGTCTTTCTCTGTATCCCAAGAGAAATTCTTTAAATTTTTTAAAATTTAAATAAACAAAAAGCATCAAGATATTACACTTCGTTAATTTTGTAGATCATTAGGGTAAAAAAATAATAAAACTTACTTTTTTCCCCTCAGGGTTTAATCAATAGTTTCAACTCTGACTTATGCATCAAAATTGATTAAAAAAAAATCACAGGGTTTAAACAACAAAACAAGCCTTGAGCTTGTGATCCTTATACCTCAGCCTCCTGATTCACTGTGATTGCGGGCATGCACCATCAAGCCCAGCTGAAAATTCTTTTTTCCTCTTAAAATTAAGACACCCTTATTCTACGTTTTCAAGAGAAGGTAGATTGGGACTTGAGATTGTTTTGATATTGAAGGTTTTTGTTCTATTTTGTATTTGTTTAGGCATATTAATGGCAAAAAAATAACAAAATTCCATCTCAGATATGCTAAATATCACAGTCTCCAAAGAGGGAGTCCACAAACTTCTATTTGTCTTGTTTTCCTTTTATTTTGGAAGTAACACAGATTATTCTGTTGCAAAGTAAAGGCTGACTACTACTGTCCTAAGCCATAGGCAAAAAACTGCACCAGAAACTTCATGTTAATAATAATGATATGGTAACATAAACCCTTTCTTACTCACATAGGCAAAGCTCCAAAATCAGATGCCTATGAATACCTAAACAGGCAGAAGTCAGATTTAACACCTTCTGCAGCTCTCATCAAGACATGCCAATTTCATGTAGGAAATGGGTTTTTCTCTTCTCTTACCTATGACACCAAAGGGTTTCATGTCCTGGGTAGGAATCAATAAGATCTGTGCTGAATTCCACTTCTTCTTCTAGGAGATGAGGAAGATTTATCCTTGGTTCCTCTGTTGAAGCAGCTGCTTCTTCATCTTTTGGAAGAACTAGGGCTGGTTCATTTCTCAAAGTGTTTTTCTCCAATACAGAACTGTCTGTCACAGTTTGACTCATCAAAGATTTTAACAAAAACTGGCGGTAGTGAAATCCACTGTGGTCTGAAACATGCATGGATGCCCAATGTTTAGTAGAAGATAGTTCATCAAGAAGAATCTTGAAGGAAGAAAAAAGAAAAGTGAGAAGAGGAATTTTCTAAGGATTTTACTTCTCTATTAGCACCTCTAATTTCTCTTTGATTTTTTTTTAAACAATACCATTCTCACCAATATTTTGTACACCTTGTCTACACAGTGCTGTCGTTTAGAAGTTTAATGCATGCTGGTTTCTCTCTTCCCTTATAAAGTTACAGGAATTTGTTTTAAAACCACAGAACCAAAAGACCTGTCTTTCTTTCCCTTGACTATTCACATTCTGATGGGCACATGGAGAGAAAAGCCAAATTTTAAAATAATGTCAAACATTAAAACAGTCACTTACAAGTAATGTTAACATAGAAGGAAAATATAAATGCAGGTTAATTTGATTAAACTTTATTTTATTTAATATGCATTATATCTAACATGAAAATATACTATATCTGTTCAATTATAGATTAAATATAATTATCTGTTTTTCTATTATCTATAAGTGTCATGGAGGCAAACAGTATAACTGTTTTGTTCACTACTTAATTCTAAGAGCTTAGTACAAAACCATGATGCACGAATATAGGATTTTGTAAGGGCTCATGACTATTTTTGTTTCCAACTCGCCATCAATGATAAATGAGGTTTTAAAGTGAATTAATAAATAAAATCCAGCAGTAAAATGTTCAAATCTTTGTATTACCAACCTTGTAAATTAAAGAATGACAGAAACCAAAGCAGCATTTGTGGGGCAGGGCGGGGTGGGGACAAGAAAGAAAAGGAAAGTAAGTTTTGGCACTGTCTTGAACAGGTAGTCCAAGAATTTTGAGCAATGAACAGAATTATCAAGGACTTACCACAGTCCATCAGGGGATTTTTAGACCAGCTAAAGAACACCAGATATACACTTGTCAACAGTAAATAATAGAAACAGCACGATGCCAAACGATGACTTTATCTGTTTGTCATAGGTCCCCAGCAAATACCTTCTCCTATACTATGTTCTCTTCTCCACTCCTCACACATCCCTTTCTTCCCTACAAGAAATCTTTCCCTGTTCTGAACTTCCAAAGTACTTTTATAACCCAGCATGCACATTAAAAAATTCTTTGCATGTCTTCATTCACACTAAATTCTGAAGGTGCTTTATCTGTTTTTAAACTCTGTAAGATGCTTATTCATTTCTAATTGATATGTCCATTACCTCATACCCACTGTCATCAGAGTGGATATATAAATATTTTATGAATGAATGAATGAACAATTTAATAAAAGAGATGACAAGTACAAAGGAGTAAGATTACTTCCAAGTAGGACATTCATGGTTTATCAATGATGTGTTTTAAATATTTTCTCTAAGCTCTAATGAGTTTATTAATCACCATCTAAATTTATTACAGAGGTGATAGCTGGCGAGTCTCTGAGAAACAAGATATTTTTTATTTCAAAAAGTAAGCAAAAATAGTACCAGATGAACTTCTACCAGGAAAATTAATTTTAAGGTCATTACATTTTTTTGAAGAATCAGTCTGTAGGACATTAAGCTAAAACACAGCAGCTTTTTACTTTTTAGCCTGGCATCTTAATATGGATTGAAAAGAGTACTCCACTTCATGAAAATCCTTTAGATCATTTCTTATAGAATATTTCTATGTTAAAAAATGCAACTGTTTGATTTTGAGGCAAAAATACCATATATAAAAGGTTTTCAAAAAGATTAATATTTTAAAAAAAATTTTTTAGTTGTCAATGGACCTTTATTAGTTTATTTATATGCAGTGCTGAGAATCAAACCCTGTGCCTCACACATACTAGAAAAGTGTTCTCCCACTGAGCTACAACCCCAGCCCCAAGATTAATTTCTTAAAAACAAAAACAAACAAACAAAAAACAACCTTACACTGTTTAAGGGAAAAAAAAAAAAAAAAACCTACCATATTCTTTTCCTTAAGATATATAAGGATGCATTATTAATCCAAAGAACAGACTTTAATGAGAACATTGGGTCATTTTCTTATCAGAAGAAATGGTATAAAGGCAATAACCAAAAATAAATGAACTACTTTTAAAAGATCTTGAAGACATATAAACATATGGATTAAATCTAAGATATTGACAAAATGAATGCCTTTATATGATAAACCTTAAATGCACATATTCTTTTCTAACCTCCACATTAAAAAATGAGTAAGTAAATAAAATAAAACTAAAGTAGGCCTATGAATTAGACGAATAACAGTTTTAAAATGAAAGATTACAGAAAATAAAAATGTCATCAATCTTGTAAATTTTTTAACAATGGTTTTCATTCTAATTATAAAATTGATAATGATTATTATAGAAAATTTAAATAATAAAAATTATTTTTAAAAAATTACCTATTATCCTATGGGCCATAAATTACTACTCTTAAAACTTTGATATATAACCAATCTTTCAGGTTTTTTTTTTCCCTATTCACGCTTTTACAAAGAGGTTTTTTTTTTTTTTTTTTTAAAGAGTTAACGGTTACATATAGTAGTTGGGTTCATCCTAACAAACTCATACATGCATGGAAATCGACTGCAGTTCATTATCACTCAAAGAGTTTATTTATTTATTTATTTATGTTTAAGATTTATTTATTTATTCTAATTTGTTACAGCAGAATCATTTCAATTCATAGTACAAATACAGAGCACAGTTTTTCATGTCTCTGGTTGTTAACAAATCAGTCACACCATTCTTAAATTTTATTTTTAACACAAACTCAGGATATTATTTTGTACTGAGTTTATTCCACTTCTCATGACATTAAATACTATTCTATAACAATTTTAACTCTTGCATAATGTTTACCCTAAAGATCAGCACAATTTAACTATTCCCTTATTTATTTCTACTCTTACATGAGTACCAATCTTATATATAAATCCATGTGCATATCTAATTATTTAGGATAAATTTCTACAAGTATACTAGCTGGAACAGAGAACAACCGTGTAATAGTTATTATAATATATATGATATATACTAATATATTGTGTATTATTAATATTATATAGTATTAATAATACACTAATATATAATGTCAAAGTACCCTCTAAAAAGGCTATATAATTTATATTTCTATTTGAAGAACATTAATGCCTAGATCCTAAATTTTTCATCAATACTTTAATCTTCACTAACTTAGTAAAAAAAAAGTTTCATTTTAGCTTACATTTCTTTAGTTATCATAAAGGCTAAATATTTTTGTATGCTTATTTTCCCTTTGATTCTTCTTTATGAAATACCTATTTTGCCTAATTCTCTTCATTTATGAGTTACCTAACTTTATATTTGTAATAGTCATGTTTTACAGTTTTCTGAGATATTTATATATTAAAGAGATATTAAGTCTCAATTTGTCACTTTTTTTGGTCAATATCTTATTGCAATTAATTTTTTAATCCTTTTCCACCACCAGGTTTACTGAGATACAGCTGGCAAATAAAAACTGTTATATATTTATGGTGTACAACATAATGTTTTATGTATGTACTGTGAAATGACTACCATGATCAAGCTAATTAACTTATCTATCACCTCACATATTTGTCATGGTTAGAACACTAAAGACCTATTATTAGCAATTTTTAAATATATTATCTCCAAAACTTATTTATCCTAACTGAAACTTTGTACCTTTGACCAGCAACTCCCTATTCTTTTCCCCACCCCAACTCCTACAACTATCACTCTACTTTTTTGTTTCTATGAGTTCAACTTTTTAAAATTCCACATACAAGTGATATCATGAAGTATTTGCCTGGTTCACTTGCACATAGCTTATGTAGTATGAGGTAAAAACCCAATTATTTTCTACAAAGTAAGTTTTTATCAACAAACTGGATAAAGACTCTTTAATTAAGAGAAATGCCATAGTCATCATCGATGAAATCTGTACATAGTATGCAATGGGGTTTGTTTCTGGGCTTGGTATCCTTTCCATTACTGAGTTTCTGAAATAGTACCATATTTTAATTATTTAAACATTTAAACATCTGATGGTATAGTGTTCTTCTTTTATTCAACAATTTATTTCTTAAGATTTATTCTTTCTAATGAACTCTGAAGTCAATTTTTTAAGTTAAAAAATAAATCAGTAACCACTTGAATCAAAGTGTGGAATATGATATGTCAAGAAATTTGTAATGTTTTGAACAACCCACAATAAAAAATAAATCAGTGGTTTTTAGTATACTTGGAGTTGTACAGCTGTCACCACTATCTAATGTAAACCATTTTCATCACATCCCCAAAAGCAAACCCCAAACCAAACCAAACCAAAAAATCCCATTCGTATTAGCAATGGGTCATTCCCCCAGTCTCTCCTTCCTAGTGTCTGACACTCGATAATCTGCTTTGCAGATTCTGATCATACAAATGTTCCAAACACTTACAAGTGTTTATTATCTCATTCAATGCTTAATAGATTAAAATTATATGAAGTGCCCCACATATTTAGCTTATGACCTTAATCTACTATGAATATCTATCTTTATATAATTATCTAAGTACTATGTTTAGGAGCAATAAAATATTCTAATCTGTGATAAACTGTAATGTACCTAGTCCCTCAATTTTTGAGAATTAGTTTTTCAAGTTTTTAACCATTATAAATGCTACTTTTATATATCAGACCTTTATATTTAATATAATGGCCAATGTTTATTGGGCTCTTAGTAAGAGCCACTTCATGTGAATCTGTCCATTCAATGTGCATCAGTGGATGAGACAGGAAAAGGAAGCCAAAAGTTAAAAGACAGTCTAACTTCCTCAAGGTTACAGAGCAAACTGGAGGTAGAGTCAGGATGCAAGTTAGCCTGCATGAACACAGAATGTAACCTTTTATCATTACACAATACCACATCCCTATTATTTATTTATGATGAATTCCTGGAAGCAGGACTGTTTAAGATAACAATTTTACAATGTTTATTTTCATACTCATATCATACAGGATACTAGCACTTTAAAAAGTCATTTTCAATTTTCTAATTAAAAAAATGCCAGTTTATTTTCATGTATTTTAAGTTGCTCTAGATTACTAATACTTTTGATATTGCTTCCTCTAGTAGACAAAGCATAGCAGAACATGTTATCCTAGCTGGGTCCAATGGCTTGTAACAACAGAAAAGGGATTTTGAAAACTCAGCACTCTTTTCTAAAAACAATGAGAACAAAAGATGCTGCAGTGGTGGCAGTGACAGGAAGAACGGCAGGCTCCCACACCTCCCAAGGTAGGTCAAGGAAGGCTGACAACATGTGAGCCTATGAGTAAATCCAGGCAGCTCAGCCAGAGTCCACTAATAAGCTGTCATCTTTAACATATGATGGTCTCAAGTAACAAAAATTGTGTCTTGGTCCCTTATTCCTGATTTTATGAAACGCTACTTGAAAAGGTCTACAACATGGCGGGCGGGAGTGTTTCCAAAGACCTCTAAGCTCACCTGGAGTCTGGACCCAAACTGGACCCACAAACCTCCGCTCTATCCTCCACTCCTACTCTCCCCATTATCAAACTGTGGAGTTGAGATAAACAGCTCTAAAGCACTTCATAACACTGACAACACATCAAAGAACTTCTATGCATGCTTCCAGCCTCAGCTGTTTCCAAAGACCTAGACGAAGAGCCATTTCTCTGTTCTTACATGTATCCTGAGATTCCCCCAGTCCCTTCAAGTACATGCTGCTTTGTAAGTGTTGATTTGCTTCCTCAACCAGTTTCAATCTTTTGATAGAAAGTTCTTGTCTTTACTATCTCAATCAGTACACAGGAGAGTGGCTGGGGATGATGGGGGAGGGGGGTTGGCACGTTTTCATGAATAAATTACACTGAATTGATCAAGCAAACTGATAGCCAATTTTACCTAAATTTTTTATTCATGGGAGAGCAGATTTAAAAAACTAAAATTTAGTAAACCTCTCTGAGATGCCCAGTACTTTCCACAAATTAATTCAGGCAATAATTCTCAAAGTAACCCAGAGGCAGAGAGTAGACTCCTCATTTCAAAAGTAAAAACATTAAAGCCTCACTTTCCTATATATAGCTGGTAAGGGCAGAATTTGGACTCAGGCTGATGGGAGTCTAAGTTTTGATCTTTTTTCTACTCCAGCAGGTGGACTCCACTCCTGAAACTCATAGCCATATAAACTGAAAAGAAAAGGGATTCTCTTCCAAAACTGTTAGCTTAAAATCTCCTTAAAGTAAAAAATCTCCTATTTGTTCTGGAAGAATCTCTGGCTAGGAAATAAAATAGGGAATGAGAACATGCAAAATGAGATGTAAGAAGAAGGAGATCAGTACTCGAGATTCTTATGGCATTAAAATGCCATAAGAAAAAAAAGGAGGGAAAAATTGAGATGCTGTAATATATAAAAAGGAGCACAAGCGATACCTGGATTTCAGTGATGAATAATATATGGTACAACTGTGGCTAACTCTAAACTATTAAAATTCTCTGGAAACTTCCATCTCCTCATTTTAAAACTGAAATTAGGTTATGAGAGGTTCCAACCTCACACTGCATCCAAATAATTCTCTGAATCTGTGGATTCAACCTCATTCTGATTTTTAGGCCTGAAATAAGAACCTAGGAAACTTCAGATAATTTACAGGCTCTGTCAAATGTGGGAACACGTGGGTGGTATCTTCTGTACCCTCTCTTCTTCCCCAACTTCCAGGAGAGGATATTGGAAAAGATAGCCAGTTGATTCAGCACAGTGAGCATATAACTAGAGACTACCAAAAAATAGTTCCAAATTCTAAAAGGCTTAATAATCTTTTCTTGTTTCAGGACAAAGTGAGTGCTCAACCTTCCCTGAATGGTTTAGCCTCCCTTTGTCTACCAATGCACTAGCCTTACTGGTGCCCCAGAACCACACTAGTGGATAATGAAAACACTTCCATAATTGCCAGGTGTTCTCTAGGGGTATCAGCAGTCATAATCTGTTCATGCTACTGAACCATTACTTCCTCTACTCCTTTAGAGCTTTAAATTCTTTTGAGGAAGATTCAAAGGACAGGCTGATAGTCTGCCCACTGGGACTGAATAATAGCCCTACCTTGACATCTAGCTTGGCCAAGTGTTGTAACACCCAGATGCGATGAGACCAGGCATTATAATTGCTTGGATATCTCCCTGCTGCTTCACCACAGACTTCCATCTCTTCTTGTATTAGTCGCTGTGTCCTCTCTGAAGGGATTGTTTCCAAATTTCCTTTGGTCACAAAGGAAGGCAAGGAAGTTTCCTGAATTAGCTGTTGTAGCACCCATCGCCTGTTAAGGAAGCATTTGGGAAAAACAAGGAAAGAACATAAACCAGAGAGGAAAAAAGACAGTATTCTTTGTTCAGTGTTCTCTGCATTTATTTATTAATGCAAAATAGTCCTATCTATAAGCCTAATTTTGAGAGAAGTAAGAAGGGCTTGCTGTTTTGAAGACAATTAAATTTAGGAGTATGACTAAAACAGGACAAACAGGAAAGGAAATACTTTCTAAAACCTTAAAATCTGTCAAAAAAAGAATATCATCAGTTTTGAATGACAACTCCCAAATTCCATTTGACCAAGAAACTTAAAAGGAACTAGTCTGTGTATTTATGTGTAGTGGTGATGGTTATGGAGTATTAATTAATGGCTGGTAAATATTAGTAGCAGAGTCATGGTTCACATCTTCAATTACATGTGCATGCCTCACCCCTATGTATATTTGTGTGCAAATGAGAAGCTGCACCTGGAAAGCTTTCATTATGCAAAATTTCTATATTGCAGCATAAAATCTAGAAAGAATACAATATAATTTAAACCATCAGAAGATGTTTTAAAATGTCTTTATCCATAGATTTTTCCCTTTGTCTATTTAAGATCTGTACTAGCATACATTTAACCCAAAAGCTGTAAAAAGCATTTCTAACTACTTAATGCTTTTGGTTGTACAAACATTTTCCTCTTATGAAAGCATTCTTTTAGACTAAAAATTTCTGACCCAGAGGTACAGAAAATTGAATAAGAAAACTCAATTCATCGTGTTTAAATAATAGGTTTTGTTTAACAAAATTATTACTTCATTAAAAAACTAAAGACACCTAATAATTGATGAATGCATTTTTAATATTATCTTTGCCCTGCCCCATCCCTTTTTAAGCCCCCACACAATGCCATGACTCTCTAAGGCCTATTCCAATTTCTAGTAAATAAGAAAATACAACTGTGGTTTGAGAGGAGCTGCCTTGAAATGCTAGCCAAAGGAACAATTATACCTAAGATTCCTTATACTGAAATAAATAAAAATGCCCACAATTAAAAATAAGTGGCTTAGTGAGAATAACTACAGAGTAACTTCTCCATTATCACCAGGCAGCAAACCTTTTTCATTCAATTGTAGTCAAATAAAAGCAGTTATAAATAAGACAAATAAGCTTCTGGCTGGCCATGATTTTGAGGGTCCTTATTTCCATCTCACTACCTCAGGTCTTTAAAATTACTCTTTGTATTAGTGATTCTAGTAATTATAGCCTATGCGCCCTTTGTCTTAGCTGCCTTTAGCTTCCTTTATAAGTTAATTTGAATAACCATAACAATCACCACCAACTTCTTTACCAGGAATGCAACCTAACACATTCAAATGCAAGATACTCATTGTAGTTGAATCTCTAAATGCAGTCTTCACATTACCACAGTTAGCAGTAGCTAATGTTTACTAAGTATTTAATACATGACAGGCACTTTGGTAGTGTTTACATGTGGTACTGTTCCCATGTACCTTGAACTATTAACCGTACGATATGAGTGTAATAATTACTGTCATTTAGCAATGTGAACACTGAAAATTGAAGAGGTTAAATCATTTCTTACAAGCACTTGGGTAGCCAGTGATAGCCCTAGATTGGAAATGTAGGTAACATGACTTTAGAATTCATGCTTTGAATCAACACACAACCCTGCTTCACAATGCTGTTTCTTTCTCCAGTCATTGTTAATTCTAAACAAGAATACTATGCTGTAAATTAATCACACCTGTGAATCCATGTTTCTGGACTCTTTGGAAACTTAGTTAAGGCCAGTTTGCCTAGATGTAAGTCCTTAATTGGATTTAAAGTGCCAGAGAGGATCAGCTCTTTCCTGTAAAAAAAAAATTAAAAAACAAAACATTACTTTATTCTTCTATTCAAACATTCTGAATGACTTTTAATATAACCTCATTGTGAAGTGAATTTCTAAGAATTGGAGAGAAAGAGAATACTCCAAACCACTGTGGTATATAAAACTGTCATAAATATGGCATACACAGTTGTCAAGAATGTATTCTCATAATCTCAAAATAATTAGTAAGCAGAAAAAGAAGTTCTTAAATAAACAACAGAACTTTAGTTAAGTATTTGGGATACTAAAGGTGTTTCCTAGCCTATCTCATTTCTAAAAGTTACATGACCTGAGAGCAGTATCTCTAAGGCAGATCCAACAGTGTTCAAGAAGTGCTCTAGCTTCTTAAATAGAACTTGATATGGTCTAGTTCATTATCAAAAAATAAATAATCCCCCAAACAACAATGAAAGAATATACATATTAAAAAAAAAAACCAAACACAACATGATTGAAATGTAAGGAAAAAAAATCTGTTGAATCATTATCCTAATAAATACAATTATTTTTATTTTTGAATAGTTCCTTCTTTCCTGCATGCAAATATATTTTATATCTTGCTCTCAGCACATCTTAAGAATTCTCCTATAGTTCCATATAATTTTTGTAATGAACACTGTGAATGATCATAGTTTTAATTCAGTAGCTGTGATGTAATTTAATGTCCTTTCTCCCACTGTTACATTTTAGGTTGCTTCTAACTTTTTGCTATTCTAAAAAAAAATGTGGGGAAATACCAAAAACCCTTGTGCTTGTAACTTGTTTCTTTTGTACTATTATTTGGGATACGTTTCCAAAAGAGGTATTACCAGGTGAAATAGCTGCATGGCCCCTGATATATTGGGCCACTCTTTCTTGAATATAAACAGAAGTAATAGATATATAAGGTTTTTGTTGTTTTAAAAAAGATGGTCAAGCCCAACCAAAGCTTCTGTGCAGTTATAAAGAACATCACAAAAGTATTTGGTACATAGTTTTCACTAAATAAAATTTAACATTTAATTTCTTGAATAAGTTTTGCATAATAGATGCTGGTATTTTTTATTATACTTCCCAATTAATTCAATATATCTATTATTTTATAATAAAACCAAATCATTTGCTCTTACTTATTAATTCTAAAATGTCCTTCTTGGGGTAGAGCTGATTATTAATTTATTTTAGAGAAGTTTCTACTCAACAAAACCAGAGTCAGTCTCTTATATTGGATTAGATGGATTTGGTTCCTAAATACCATAAAAAATTCTTTTTAGTAGCAATAAACTATTTCTAAATTTTTATTTGATAAGGAAAATAACTTCCTTTTTAATGAAAATACTAATTAGTGACAATGAATACTTGTATTTTATAATTGTTTTAAGGTTAGTAATTTTATAATTTGAAGCAACACCCAGAAGGTTTATAGTCATTTTAATAAATGGATTTATGGACTATTTTCTTTTCAATGGACAGGAAACCTATTTATCATTTAAAAGAAATGTAATGCAAGTCAATTGCTTTTATAGTCTTAGATATTTTCTGTTCTGAGATCAGTAATATTTTTTGTATACAATAAGTAGGAATATTTATGAAGTAAAAGGAGGTAAAAGATTGCTCTATGTAATTTTAACTACTTTGTAGAGCAGTGCTTTTCAACGTGGTTCCAACATCAGTCATCATCTGGAACTTAGGATAAATGCAAATGCTCAGGCCTCACCTGGACACACTGAATGGGAAACAGTGGGCAAGTAATCTGTGTTTTAATAAAAGTGGGCAAGTAATCTGTGTTTTAATAGCCCTTCAGATGAGAAATATTAAAGTTCAAATCCACTATTATAGAAAATTTATTGTATTAACCTTAATTTCTATTTACTAAATTCAAGACTTGTCCTTATTTGCAACTGCTTTTCTTTATTCCCAGATATAAGATATATAATAATTTTTTTCTTCAGAAAAGAAGGAGTCACCTCTTTACTAACTAACTAAATAACTAACTCTTTACTAAATTTCTTTAATTATGGACAATGAATTTCTTTTGAACAATGAAGTAGCATTTGGGGAAGATAACATAGTCTGAAAAAACTTTAATCAATGATATCTATGAATGCCACAGAATCATAAAAAAGAAAGCAAAATTTAAATATCAATTTAATAAACATTCCTAGAGGCAGGACTGAACACTTGTAAGTGTTGTATACTGTTGTAAACAAATTTTTAAAAGACACCTTAAAAAGAAGTATACTAAGTGGTTACATTATGGCAATTGCACATCCTATAGATACAATTAAAAAACAATAATTGCTCTAATAAATTTGAGTTTCAAGTAAGAATATGGCTGGAGATAAAATTTCCATTCATTCATGGATTCAAAAAGTACTCTAACTCAAACAAGTTAAGATATTAATATGATAAGCTCTGGAAAACTACTGGATAGCTTTAAAAAAAAAAAGGCTTTTGTGACGATAGTCACTGATATAAATAATGCTAAAATTCCCCAATGAGACACTGCTTACAGAGGAGGAATGAAGCTAGGATCATCAAATAATCATGGAGAGAACTAACTCGAAGGGGAAAAGGTGTTGGTATTTTTTGGAGATTAGAGAACAGAGTTAGTGAAGAAAGTACCATAATTTAGGTATAATCTTTGTGGAAAGAAATTATGAGGGCTGCCTTCTAAAAAAGGGTGAGAAGGAAAAAGAATGAGGCACTTTAAAAAAACAACAAGAATTATGAAAGGAATGAGATTTTCCACAAAGCAGATTTTTCAAACAATAACTTAATCTTTGCTGTATATTTCGTTCAAGAACTGAAGAGTATATGAAAAAATAAAAAAAAACTCATCACTTTCCTTTCAAGTCCTCCTGTTCATCATTATGAAAATCAGCTAGTTATCTATAGTTAAACAGGCCCATAGGAACCTTCAGAAGTTACTAAAGTAAGCAGCATGATTCCCTTCTCTAGGAGATAACTATACTTTTTATACTTCCACAAAGTTTATTTTACTTTTTAGATTTTTCTATTTTTTATCTCAAACTGTATTTTGATTATGATCTCCACTGGTTAGGTCAGTAATTGGCACATAATAAATATTGAGTAAATAAATGCCATCTTTTTTCCCTCAATCTCAGTTACTCTGTCTGAAGCAACAAAAATAATAACAGCCATCCTTGTAAAAATTATCATCTACAGAACATTTCCTGAATCAGGTACTATTTTAAGTGATTTACATATGTTACCTAATTACTACCACAACAATCTTATAGTAAGCATTGGTTGAGTTACATGAAATTGCTAGTATTCAACTTTTCTAAAAAAATAAACTTTTTTATTTTATAACTTCCATATTTTTACAGAAAGTTATAAGGATAATACAGAGAATTCCTGTACACTTCGCACCCAGTTTTCCTCATCAACATCTTGTATTACTGTGGTTCACTTATCAAAACTGATGATTAATAATGATATATTATTAGTGGAAGTCCACACTTCACTCAGAATTCCTTAGTTTTTACCAAATTCCTTTTTCGGTTTCAAAGTCCCATCCACGATTCCACATTATATTTAGTTGTTATGTCTTCTTAGGCTCTTCAAATTTACATTGCTTTTAATGGCCTTGATAGTTTTGAAAGTATTGGTCAGGTATTGTATATACTGTATTTCTCGTGATTAGATTAGTGTTATGGGTTTGGCAGAGGAAGACCACACAGCTAAAGGGTCATTCTCATGTATTCATAGTAGGGACACATAGTATCAAGATGCTATTGATGCTGATATGGATTACTGGGCTGAGGTAATATATGTCAGGTTTCTTTAGTACTTTTAGGAAGGAAGTCACTATGATTTTTTATTCAGTGCACACTGCACAATTAAGGTGTCTGGAATTAAGCTCCAAATCCTTGAAGGGAACCATCCAGATAAATAAGATAAATTAACAAGATATTTGTCCCCTACTTATTAATTGATTCATTTATATCAGTATGGACTTATGGATATGGGGTCTAAGCCATTACTATATTACAATAGTCCCCTTTATCTGCAACTTAAGTCATCCACAATCAACTGTAGTTTTGAAAATTTTAAATGGAAAATTCCAGAAATAATTCACAAATTCTAAAGTGCATGTATTCTGAGTAGCAGGATGAAATTTCGTCTGTATGGCTCAGGATGTCAATCATCCCTTTATCCAGCTATTCCTCTTCTCGGACTATACCCAAGGGACCTAAAAACAGCATACTACAGGGACACAGCCACATCAATGTTTATAGAAGCACAATTTACAATAGCTAAACTGTGGAGCCAACCTAGATGTTCTTCAGTGGATGAATGGATAAAAAAATTGTGGCATTTATACACAATGAAATATTATTTTTAGTCACTTGGTGGAAAAAAGCATACTCTCCTTGGCTTCAGGCATCTGCTGGGGGGTCTTGGCACATACCTCCCCAGGATAAGGGGGTGGATATGTATCTACTTTGTTGCTCAAATAATTTCAGTGCCTTATTGAAAGCTCTTTCAACAGGTTTTATATTCCTTTAGCATACCCTCACCATGCTGATTTTTGAACACATTTCTTCCTTTATAAGATGCTTTAGGCTCATCTTGTATACTTCCTACCTTGATCCTAGAATCAGCCATTTATCCAAGAAAACCAATTCCTTCTCTTAGAGAATGGTGTTAGAAATGAACTTTAGGATGTTGAGATTCAACTTTCTTTTAAGTGTACAAAAACAATTTCATAAACCAGAAACTGCATCTAACAGAAGAAAAAGTAGGCCCTAATCTTCATCATGTGGGGCTAGGCCCCAACTTTCTTAATAAGATGCCTATAGCACAAGAGTTTAAACCAAGAATCAACAAATGGGATGGATTCAAACTAAAAAGTTTTTTCTCAGCAAAAGAAATAATCTATGAGGTGAACAGGGAGCCTACATTTTGGGAACAAATTTTTACCCCTTACACATCAGATAGAGCTCTAATCTCTAGGGTATATGAGGAGCTCAACAAGATAAGCACCAAAAAAACAAATAATCCAATCAACAAATGGACCAAGGACCTGAACAGACACTTCTCAGAAGAGGATATACAATCAATCAACAAATATACGAAAAAATGCTCATCATCTCTAGCAATCAGAGAAATGCAAATTAAAACTATGCTAAGATACCATCCCAGTAAGAGTGGCACCCATTATGAAGACAAACAACAACTAGTGTTGGCGAGGATGCAGGGAAAAAGGTACACTCATACACTGCTGGTGGGACTGCAAATTAGTGCAATTTGGAAAGCAGTCTGGAGATTCCTTGGAAAGCTGGGAATGGAACCACCATTTGACACAGCTATTCCTCTTCTCAGACTATACCCAAGGGACCTAAAAACAGCATACTACAGGGACACAGCCACATCAATGTTTATAGCAGCACAATTCACAATAGCTAAACTGTGGAGCCAACCTAGATGTTCTTCAGTGGATGAATGGATAAAAAAATTGTGGCATTTATATACAATGAAATATTACTCAGCACTAAAAAACAACTAAGATCATGGCATTTGCAGGGAAATGGATGTCATTAGAGCAGATTATGCTAAGTGAAGTTAGCCAATCCCCAAAAAACAAATGCCGAAATGTTTTCTCTGATTTAAGGGGGGTGACTCAAAGTGGGGTAGGGAGGGAGAGCATGGGAGGAAAATTACCTCTAGATAGAGAACAGGGGAGGGAGGGAAAGAGAGGGAGAAGGGGAATAGCTAGGATGATGGAAGGAGAGGGTCATCATTATACAAAATTCATGTATGAAGATGTGAATTTGGTGTTAACATACCTTATATACAAACAGAGATATGATAAATGGTGGTATAAAAGTATATTAATTATATGCAAAAAAAATAAGAGAGCTCATGTATAATGGTATAATTTGGTGTGAAAATACTTTATATACAGAGTTACAAAAAAACTGTGCTGTGAATGAAAAATTATGAAGGTAATGCACTCTACTATTGTCATGTATGTAAGAAATAAATAAAAAAAAGAAAGAAAAAAAAACAATTTCATATGGTTTAATCTAATATTATCTCAATTTTACAGATGATGAAACTGAGACTTAGAGAGGTTCAGTAAGTCATCCAAGGTTTCCTAGCTCCAAGTGTCAAAACCAAACATAAAATCTTCAAATTATAGTTACCAATTTAAATCAATATGCTGAATGAAGAACTTGAATCCCTGGAGCCTTGTGTCGGCTCTTCTAGTTGCTCAAAGATGTTTTGCTTTAACTAATGAAAAAAATTGGATATTATTATGAAATCAACCTCTTTCATCAAGTAATCCACAAATATTGAAAGTAGAAAAAATAGCTTTTTATAACTAGCAGAATTTTTAAAATTAATTTATTATACTGGGAACTGAATCCAGGGGTGCTCTACCAATGAGCTACATCCCTAACCCCATCCCTTTTATTTTTTTTTTTTATAAAATTTTGAAACAGGATCTCTCCAAGTTGCAGAGGCTAGCTTCAGACTTGTGATCTTCCTGCTTTAGCCTCTGGAATAGATGGGGTTATAAGAATGTGCCACAAAGCCCAGCATATGCATCACTCACTACAAGAGCTAGCTCAAAAACTTGTTCATGCCCCTATTTTCCCCCTAAAACCACAGCACTTACAAACTGAACTAGAGGAGTATTATCTTTTACCAGTTTGTAAAATATAGTAAAAAATGACCCAATGTCTCCCAGGGTTACTGCAAAAGAAATATACAAACAAGTAAACAAAGTGCAGAGTATTTGATTTGTAATAGAGACCTTACATGTTAGACCAGTTTATTTCCAAAGCTGGTTGATGTCTACTCAGAATGTAAAATTTACCCATAATTCTGTCTTTAAATATCAATCAGTTATACTAATAATAAAATTTACTAGAACACATACCTGCAATTGACTTTTTAAAAATCAAGATTCCCTTTCTACTCATCCAGGAGGCAATGGCCCTTCATAAGACCAATCACATGTAATGAAAAAAACACAAGTTTCAAAAGAAACATGAAAATTTAAAATCTTTTAGTTCACAGATAAGAAAATAAAACTCTTGAGAAATTTAAAGTTTTGTCTTAAGCTGACTGATAACTGATGAAACAGAACTAAATTCTCTAAGAGAAGATTCTTTCTCCTATACTGCACTGCCTTAAAAATATACAATAAATAATGTGTGTATGTGCGCATATATATGTGTGTGTATATATATGTATGTATGTATACACATATATACAGATCTGTATATATGTTATGCTAGTTAATTTTTTGCTGAGATTTTCAGTTCTTCTCAAACGATGAGGAATATCACAACATGAATAAAAATGTAATACTCCCCTCTCCCTATTATCTTCATGTCTTTTTCACTTAACATGACTTATTTTCAGTTCCCAGCTTTCAAATCGCATATGTATTATGTGCCAGGCACTAGAGAAATATAAGGGGAAAAGAAATAAGACATGGCCCCCTCATATGAGAAAGTTCTCAACTGTAAAGCCACAGTACCTTCCTAAAAGTCCTCTTTGCTGATTCTTCCTCATCTTGAAATGCTAAAACAGTACTCCAATAGAAATACAATGAGTCACAAAAGTAAGCATATGTAAGATTTTAAATTGTCTAAGTTATATTAGAAATAAATACAAATGTATTTCACTTAATTCAGTATATCCAAAATTTTATAATTTCAAGGAGTTATCAATATAAAAATCATTGATATATTTCACTTTGGGGTTACGTGGCCACTTGTGGCCAATGGCTACTGTATTGGAGTATGCAACTGTTAAAATACTATAGTGTCCCAGGGCTCATCTTTGGACTGGTTATTTTCACTATCTATACCCACTCCAAAAAAAGATCCCAACAGTTCATGGCTTTCAAACCATCTATATGTTATCAATCCCCACATTTATATCTGGCCCAGAACACCTCCCTGAACTGCAGATAATATAGAAATACATGGACACAAACCTAACATGTCCTAAACTGAAACTATTAACTGCCAACTAGCACCTACCCCTACCCCTACCTTCCAAATATACTCCTCTTCCACATATTTCCATTTTGGTAAACTCAGAGCAAAAAAAAACAGAGTAAGACATGCCTCCCTTCTTCCTATTTTCTAAAGCTTAAAATTTCACTACTTCTTACCACTTCTATTGAGCTGTTCTTCAACATCTCTCACCTTAATTATTGGAAGCATTCCCTAACTTCCCAACCACTCCCTACACTCCTTATAGTCTACTTTCCACACAGGAAACAAGAGATTTTTTAAAATTCATTTTTCACTTCTCAATTTTTTGATATATATGTATTACATATATGTATATATATTATATATGTACTTTTTTTTTCTTTTTTAGTTGTTGTTGGACCTTTTTTTACTGTGCAGTGCTGAGAATCGAACCCAGTGCCTCACACATGCTAGACAAGTGCTCTACCAATGAGCCACAACCCCAACCCCAACCCCAGGAAAGAGTTTTAAAACCTAAGTTAATGTCCCTCCTTAGCTTGAAAGCCTTGAATGACTTTGTTTTATCCAAAGTCAAAGTCCTTACAACAGTTAAACCTTGTGAGAGCTGGCCTGTTTCTCTGAGCACATCTCTTACACTAACATTCATTCATGATCCTCTAGCTACACTGGCTTCCTTGCTATCCCAGAACAACCAGGAACACTGGCAGGCAATACTGATGGCTTTTCCACTTGCTGTTCTTTCTCCTTGGAAGGCTTTTCACCCGAGAAATCAAAGGATTGCTCAAAAATGACACCTATTTAAAACTGTAATGCCACTCCTCCTGTTCTGTTTTTGGCCTTCCCTACATTCTTTTCCTACTTTTTCTCCACAGGAATTATCACCAAGTGGTCTGCTATATATTTCACTTATAAATGCCCTTATTGCTTTTCTTCCCCTTTTAAAATAAACATTCCACAAGAATAGGAATTTTTGTTTGTTTTATTCATGGTTCTATCCCCAGGACCTAACACCTAGTATATAAGTTAATTGATAACTATTTGATGAATGAACAAACGTTGTCAAGTATTGTTTGAAACACGACATAACATATAAAGTCACAGGACAATCCCAAGCATATAGTAGCCTCTCAATAAACATTAATCTATTTCTTTACCACTGCAATGCTTTTCACAAGAGAATCAGATTTTTAAAATTATAAAAAAAGTAAAGTCTTACATCTTATTCTATACTTTTTATATTTATGTTTATACTCTTTAAATAGCTAATTATTATTCAAAGGACAGTGTAAAAAGACATATAATAGAACTTATCTTCTTAAAAATCCATTGCACACATGAAATTCAGTAGCAACTCAAAATGTGATTGCTTAAAATACATAAAATTAAAGTATGACTTAAGCCATCTTTAAACATAGAGAATTATAATCTCTGGCTCTTTTCTATGGGAAAATATGAAATATATCTTGATCTGAATTGTGATATTTCTATCAAATATTTTGGGTTTGAAAGCTGCAATAATCAGAATCAAAGAATGTAATGTATAAATAAAATGTGACACCAAGCTACTGAGTATCAGAGATTTTTGAATGATATGCCCCTCAATATTAGTGATAAAACCAAGACTAAAAGTTCTTGGCTTTGAATCCCTATCCTATGCACTTTCTACTGTACTACAGAGCTTCTCACACACCTTATAATCCAATCAATTATGCCAGTTGCCTGTAACCCCTAGAAAGGAAGAAAAGTAAAAGCATACATCAAACAAAACTCAACATGGACATTTATATTTTAGACAAAAGTTTATAGAATACAGAAATGCAAAAAGGAGCATGGTTTATGTGTTAGAATTGCTGTGAAGTTATTATGAAGAAGGGGTTGAAGAAATAAATGTAGGATGCCCTGGACATATGGTTTACATTTCATTTTTCAAACAGCTAACAACTCACAGAGCTTCTAAGACTTAAGAAATCTAGACAAATTTTATCTTATCACTGATGAAAACTACATACCTTACATTCCATGCTGTGGTAAAGTCTGGGTTTAAAAGCAGCAGGGTACACGTGACATCTATCAATTCTAAAATAAAGAGAAGTAATTTTAAAAACAAATAGTCTTGACCTTTAAATCTTAGTTTCTTTATTTTAAGGTTCTCTCCTTTTCTGTCATATAACAGCATATATCTCAGGTCGTATTAATTTTAAAGACAGATACCTGGCTCTAAACTGAAGATTATCCTCAAGACTTTCTTCCACTTAGGTCTACCTTTTCTAAAACTCAGACCTTGAAACAATTTTACAATATGCCAGTAAATAATTAACCACTTCATTCTTTCAGTAGTTTTGGCACTAATATTTACCAAGGAAAAGAAATAATTTCTAACCACTTTCATTTAATTTCATAAATATCAAATATGTGCAAATGTTCAAAAGAAAAAAAAATCACTCATAATACAACCCATTTAACATAATTAATTTAAAATTTCCTACAAAAATTTTCCCTCTTTGCATATTTTTATATAACTATAGCAATGATAAAACTACTATAACTACAGCAATGATAAAACTACTATAAACATTTTAAACAGATGCTGTATCTTATAGATCCTTTTTTTATGATGTGTTTCCTGAAGTAGAACTACCATGTTGGATCAATATAAAAACCAGTATGGCTCCTACTAAGCATTTCCAAATTGTCCTCCAAGTGGATTGTATCTATGTATACCGACAAGAATAACATAAATGTATTTATGTCCCTCTAATTCTGACCTATATAATTGTTTTTAAAAAATCAGTGTGATGAATTTTAAAAATTGCACTGTTTTTAATTTTATACTTTTACATTTATTCATATAAACTTTTTTTTTCATTTGTTTGTGACTTATAGTTCACCTAGAATAGCCTACACATATTCATAAGCTATTTACCAATCATGGTCTTAACAAAATTTCAACATATTCTAATAAGCTCCAAAAGCCTATTTTAAAAATAAAATGAGTAAAATTTAGATAAAGGAGAATTCTAGATTCTAGAATTCAGATTATTAAACCAGGATTATTAAATTCTAAATCAGGTAACCCTACCAAGTGTGTATCTAAGTGCCAACCAAATAAAATAATAAAAATGATTGCTATAGCTTATTTACCATTATTGTGTACCAGACATATTAAGCACTTTATTCACATTCTTTCACTATAGTCTCATAATCATGGTCCAAGATACACTTACTCAGCTTTACGGACAGGGAAAATGAGATACTCAAAGTTTAAGCAATTTGCCCATAGACACTGAATTAGTATCTGACAACTCAGTGCTTTTAACAAATCAATTATACTGCAATTGAAATGTCTGTCTACATGAAGTGGGATATTTTCAGTGTGTAAGTAATAAATTTTTAAAATCTAAGAACAAACAAACTTAAGTGTATCCTATCGTCATTTAAATATATTCTAATTAACAAAATCAATTATTGTTGGGGCTAGGATTGTGGCTCAGCGGTAGAGCGCTCCCCTAACATGGGTGGGATCCCAGTTTGATCCTCAGCACCATATAAAAATAAAGGCATTGTGTTGTGTCCATCTACACCTAAAAATATTTTTAAAAAAAATCAATTATTATATTTTCATACTATCTTAATAAAAGAATAACATTTATTTTGAGTTCCATGATTTCATCACTATGGAACATACTGTAATGTTTGATACATAAGCAACAAACAGTAGGATTAACACACATTTATTTTTGACCTGCATTCTTCCTATTATGTTATTACATGCAAAAACATAATATGCCTATAAATATGTAAATTAACTTCTTTATTCTTTTAATAGTTTTAGGCACTATTTTAATATTTGCCAAGGAAAACGCACTTTTAATTTATTAAGTCTATGCCATTAGTCATTTAATTGTACAAACATTATAAGTACTGACAATATGCAAAGATTAAATTGGACCCTTATAACTGAAAGAATGGATATAATTGTAAATGAAACCAGATTTTACCCTTGATAGTTACCCACTAGTTGGAGAGACCATATAAATAATTATAAGGCAAAATTAATAGTTACTGGAGCACCTATGGGAGACTAAATGAATATGGTTATAAAGGCACTGAAGACCATAGAAAAGTATGGCATGTGAGAAGACGCATGAACTTCACAGCCAGCTCTTAAAGACACAATAGTTAGTAGAGTATGACTACACCACAGGGTGCTGGAGATATGTATTAGAAAAATGAAGCCTTCTAGAACCTGGTTCCAATTTCTTTTCTGCCTGGCTTTCCACGATTTCCCTTCACATGCCATGCTCCACCTAAAGCCAAACCCCATCATTCTGGGAACATATCTCTAATCAGTTGACCTTCTATTCTCTGGACATAGCTGAGATTTACCTACTTGCTATTCTTTTCACCAGAAATGGCCTCCTGTGTTCAAATATTTATACCAATAGCAATAAACCTTTTATATCTCAGGAACTCTGAAGTGTATCTTTCCCATAAAGGCTTTCCTGACCTACCTAGCTAGAAAAAAATCTTTCATCTGTTTTGTATGTACCTTACTTTGTTACTTATATAAATATTATTCTCTTAATCAAACTATAAATCAGGGAGACAGATCCTCCCTAACACATCTTCAAATTATTCATTCACTCAAAAATTCTGTAAGCATATATAACAACCTAGGCACTGAGCTGGGTGACGATGATTAAGATATGGTCTCTGCCCAGAAGAAATTCCATATTAGTCCCACAGAACAGAGGAGCGGTAAGAGCACAAGACTTAAAGACACAACATCTGCCAGGACCCGTGGTGCACACTCCCAACAGCTTGGGAGGCTGAGGCCCTAAGCAACTCAGTGAGACCCTGTCTCTAAATTTAAAAAAAAGGCTGGGGATAAAGGGCCCCTGAATTAAATTCCCAGTACCAGGAAAAAAAAAAAAAAAGACACAATACTTGGGTTGGCATCCAAGCCGCTCTACTTACTACCTACAACACTTCTTTAAGATCTCAGTTTCCTTCCAGGTACGGTAGTACATGCCTATGATTCCAGTGGCTCAGGAAACTGAGCCAGGAGGATCGAGTTCAAAGCCAGCCTCAACAAAAAAATGAGGCATTAAGCAACTCAGTGAGACCCTGTATCTAAATAAAAATACAAAATAGGGTTGGGGATGTGGCTCAATGGTGGGGTGCCCCTGAGTTCAATCCCTATACCCCAAAAAACCCACAAAAAAAACAAAACAAAAACAAAAACCTCAGTTTCCTTCCCTGTGAAATGGGGATGATAAACATTGCACAGTATTTTATAAAATGAGATCTATCCCATTTCTCCACAGTTTGGAGAAATAATTGCTCAGTAAGTATTTATTCAACTAAACACTATTGCTACTTACCAACGAAGAAATGAATATTTTCAACATCAATTAATCAAATCAGATGAGTCAGTTGTTCCTATAGTAAAACTGTAAATTTCTAAACTTGTAAGGTAGTGACAACATCAAAACCCAAATACTTACTAAATAAGTAGCTATGTGGAAAGGTTTATGCACGATGAGAAAGTCTCCAGAATTTCTTTGATGGCTACAACTCTTTAAAAGCCATTAAGCTACTTAGGTAAACTGGCACTTCATTCCTTGGACTCTTCTTCCTCAAGACAATGTCTGACAAATGGTAGTTGCTATATATACTTCTAATAACTCTTTTCCCCCAACTGCTACAAGTGAAGACAAGTTCACCCTTAGAAAGAGATCTCCATACAGAAGCAATAGGCAAAAACTCACAAATACAGCAAATACTCAAGTCTCCACTTTTCAATTTGTGGTTGATCAAAGCAACATTTTGTTTACTCAAAGCTTTGCTTTCTCTTAGGAGAGTGATAGCAAGTTATTGAGTACACAGCCTAGCTCTCCTATTTAGTGGAATTCCTGGGCATGTCACTCACTGTGCTTTAGTGTTCCTATTTGTAAACTGAATCCAATAACTGTAATACCTTAGAGGGGTATTAAGTGATTAAAACCATTAAGTGTCAGGCAGTATACAACACACAGTAAACACCGAATGAAAAATCCTGTTACGAAGGTGTATCTTCTAGCCCACTTCCATAGGTCATACTGGGACTGGATGTCTTCAGATGAGGAAAAAGAATTTCCTAAGTGGGATGAGTAGTGACCACGGAGTAGAGGAATACTTTCCAACTTCTATGAATCTCAGGACTTAAAATATCCAACAGCCTCCACCAATGATTAATGGGCTTGGTAACACACAGAACCATGTGCCTCCCTCTTTGATACACTGGCCAACTCTGCCTGATTCATGACTCAAGTTGAAATGCAAGAGGTGGGGTAAAGTAGAATGTCAGAAGCAGGAAAGGGCTAATTAAAGAAAAGTAACTAGTAATACTGGATATCATTAGAGACAGATCCTCACAGAAACCCTCTGAGGTCTTGATTAGCATTCCCTGCTTTTGGTGTAGAAACATGAAGAATTTAAGTAATTTGCCTAAAGTCGCTGTTAAGGAACTTCAGGGGGCTGATTAATTGAAATTTTATTTTTTATTTTTATTTGTTCTTTTTAGATAAACATGACAGTACAGTGTATTTGACATATTATACACACAAGGAGTACAATTTATTGTAATTAGGATCCCATTCTTGCAGTTGTACATGATGTGGAGTTTCACTGGTCATGTATTCATATATGAACATAGGAAAATTATGTCCAATACATTCTACTCTCTTCTCAATACCCCTCTGGCTCCTATTATTGTCTAATCCAATGAACTTCTATTCACCCATACTCCCACCATTTTGTGTTAGCATCCACATATCAGAGAACACACTGGCCTTTGGTTTTTTGGGATTGGCTTATTTCACTTAGCATCACAGTCTCCAAATTCCATCCACTTACTGGCAAATGTCATAATTTCATTCTTCTTTATGGTTGAGTATTATTCCATTGTGTATATACACATTTTCTTTATCCATTTACCTACTGAAGGGCACCTAGGTTGGTTCCATCGTTTAGCTACTATGAATAGAACTGCTAAACACATTGATGTAGCTATCACTATAGTATGCTGATTTGTT